TGGCAACTATTTTTATTTATAATTTATTTATAAAATTCCATCCATAAGTCTTAATATTATTCTAATTAATGTAAACATTCATTGAGAACTTGAAAAGTTGAATGCATTGAAATAGTTTGCTTGATTTTTCTCAATTTGATAAAAAAAAAACAGTCCCCTGGCAAACAGTCCCCTGTGATGTTATATGCCAAAAGATACACAAATATCGAAAAAGCAAAAATTAAATCTGTTTATTTATTATGATTAAGATAGTTTTGTAGCCCTTGTTAATTTTTTTTCTAATAAAATCAAAAATAATTTGGTCGGATAATTTTGTACAGATTTAAGACGTCCTTACAGAGAATCACCCATGTGTTACTAACTTAATTTATTGTATTGCATTGTACTATAATGTTTCTGCTTTATTATCTAACTATACTATTTAATTATTACTCATGAATTATATCCAAACTTTGTATTATTGCCATTCGGCTTAGCCTTGGTATATAAATTTAATAAATAAATAAATGTATAAAAAAAAAATTAAAATTACCTAAAAATGGCGCTGAGTCTATCCAACCAAACAACAGGATCAGTTTTGGTCCCACGAGTAACAGGAAGTCCATTGATCTCCAACAATTCACAAAGCGGCCTGGCTTGAAACCAACACAAGTCTTTCATCGCCCTGGTGATTTCTTCCCTCTGCAACCTCGCTAAAATAATCGACACCCCTTTCAGCAGGCCAATAGCAGCTTCATTGCTGATCGGATATCCATCAAGACACCTTGCAATCTCCAACAATCCCGGAAAATGCGTCGCCATATGTTCAGGACACGCCGTGCAAATACTGTGAAGTGCTCCAGAAGCGACACTCGCAAGTCCGTTTTGACTCAAACAGACCAGCAGAAAATTAAGTATCGGTTCCAATGAATGAGCGTGACTATTTATCCACTCGCAAAGTTCTCCAAGGAGTAAAATACTCGTGTGCTTAACTGCAATGTGTGTGTTCTCGTGCACATTTAAAATAGCTTCGACAACTTCTGGCACAACTTGATCTTCTTCTGGAAGAATGTTTTTAGCAACTGCCTGCATTATAAAGAGCGCTGCTTCAACGCTGTCCCAAGTTGGAGCCGAGACTGGAATTCCGTCTCTGTTAGCCCCATTTATTCGGGCGAACATCTCCTTGAAACAGTGACTGCTCCCGACGATAAAGACTACGTCTTTTATCAGCTCGGATACTCGGTTTCGGAAGAGGAAAAAGTCTTCGCTGGAAGTGTCTTGCTCGAGAATTCCTAGGTAGTCTGGTTCCATTTGACAGTGCTTGCAGAGAGCGCTGATTAACCTGTTAATAAATTTTTGTTTTAGTTATTGAGATAGTTATTTATAATTAATAGATAACTAGCAACCTAGCAGTCACTGCGTGACTGCCGTAGGAAAATATAGATAAACGAAATTTTACTTTATGAAATAATGATTTTTGTTAAATTGCAATGTACTTTCTTAAATATTGATGATTTTTTAGATATAAGCTCATATTGATGTTACAATCGTTGAGACCTTTCATTTGAGTACCTACATGGCTTTTTTTTTATATATATATATTATATATATGGTATTGGTGGAATATATAAATATATGAAATATATGAAAAATTGATGTAGGTACTCAAATGAAAGGTCTTGATAAGTGTAATGTCAGGATGAGCTTATATCTTTAACAATGTCAATAGTTGACAAGATACAAGGTCATTTCTTAATTATTGACATTTTTTAGAATATAAACTCATTTTGATGTTACACTCATCGAGACCTTTCATTTGAGTACCCACATGCATATTTGATATATTTTTCATATATACATATATGTAATATATATAAAATATATGAAAAATTGATGTAGGTACTCAAATGAAAGGTCTTGATAAGTGTAATGTCGAGATGAGCTTATATCTTTAAACATGTCAATAGCTGACAAAATATAATGTCATTTTTTAATTATTGACATTTTTTAAGGCATGAACTCATTTCAGTGTTATATTCATCCAGAGCTTTCATTTGAGTGCTCACATGGCAAGTACAATTACAATTCATCAAGAAAAATAATTGCAATTATAAATAAAAGTTGGTTGGAAAAAAAAAAAAAAAAGAGAAATTACCTTGCTTTTATTTTTTATATTCCTGAGATTGTAACAATTCTTTATTTATTTATAGATTTGCGCTGGCTGATACGGCTTATCGCGCGTTGACGAAAGAAAATCGGGACCAGTGTATTTTGATATCAGGAGAATCCGGTTCCGGCAAAACAGAAGCGTCTAAAAAGGTGCTAGAGTTTATTGCCGCAGCAACTGGCCACAAAAAGCAAGTCGAGGCTGTTAATGTTAAATTGATCGGCAGCAATCCTGTGCTAGAGGCGTTTGGCAATGCCAAAACAAACAGAAATGATAATTCCTCCCGATTTGGGAAATATATGGACATACAATTTGATTTTCAAGTGAGTCTATTTAATTAAGATGAAAAAAATTTTGTCTTTGGTGTATTTATATGATGAGTTTTTTTAATTAAAATTGAGGATCATTAAAAAGGTCGAGACCTAATATATCAATCACTTAAAAAGATTCTTAAAAAAATTAATTAAAAAATTATTTTTTTTGATCAAGTACTTACAATCTTTAAATAATTTTCCTAATGCTTGAAAAAATTAAATTTTTTATTAAAAAGCTTTAAATAAAATTTAAAATAAAAAAATTTTAACAAAATTTCTAATAAAAAATTTTTAATTTATTTAATTAGTCCCCAAACTATGCATAGTGTCATAAATATTAAAAAATCATCAAGCCAAAATTTTCTAATTCATAATCCGTAAATCTCGACAGCAGATTGCTAATTAATAATTAACTAGCAACTTTGCAGTTACTATGTGACTGCAATGCTTTCATTTGAGTACCCACATGCATTTTTGATATATTTTTCATATATACATATATGTAATATATATAAATATATAAAATATATGAAAAATTGATGTGGGTACTCAAATGAAAGGTCTCAATGAGCGTAACATCAGGATGAGCTTATATCTTAAAAAATGTGAATAGTTCACCAGATACAAGGTCATTTCTTATGTATTTCTCTAAATTCATAAAAACCGAACAATTTGTTCAATAACAAATTTCAATGGCTAAAAATACTCCATTTTTTTTTCTCAAAAAATTCAAAAAATAACAAACCTGTCAATGTAAGGCTTGAATACATTATTCAACTCCTCGGAATTTCTCTGGTACAATTCTTCCGACAACTGGTACCAAAGATTGAAAGTAATCTGCGCCACCTCATAATCATGATGTCCTACACACATCAGAACAAGATCAAGAATCTTGATCGCATAATGCTGCTGCCCGGCTGTCGAGCCAGTGATAATTGTGACTAAAAATGTTTCTGCAAATTCAGTAAAAATGCGACAATAATTCATCAGCTGGCCAGTTTCTTCTTCAGCTACCAACAAGTGGTACGGTTGTTCCAAGTCAATCACACTGGTGAACAGACACAATTGAAGACGTTGAATTTCCGCAGACTCTGGACTCTGGTGGTTGTGATGATGATGATGATGATGGTGGTGAAGATAATTGTCAATATCATTGTGATTGTTATTGAGTTGAAGAGACTGGAGTATTGAGCAAACGCAGTCGGCAGCTGCTTCGTGTAATTGGTCATTAGAAGTATGATTACCCAGCACTTGAAACGCGTACGCAATTATGTCACTGTTAGGTATCGCTTCAAGTGGAACTGCGTGGACTGCTATCCAACTGGTAAGACATTTTATTATTCTAATTGGAATTTGGATATTTTCGGTGCTGCTTGTTGACTTTAGAGACATTTTTAGAAACTCCGACACTGTGTCAGCGCATGAGGACAAGTCTGCTAGGACCTGATCCCGTCTGTTAGCGCCAAGACTCAGCGTGTTGGTTTCTTCGGGAAGAAATTTAATCAGCTCTAATAGAGGCCATAGACTTGATTTATTTCCACCGAAACGATTTATCAAGTCTATCACTGGTTTCTGCCAAGCTGGCATTTGGAGAGCCAGATCTGCGAGGGCTAGACATAGCTGAAATATAAATTTAAATTGATAATTAGCAATTTTGCAGTCACTGCAAAATATAAAGAATTTTGTAAAATTGCACTGTACTTTCTTAAATATTGACGTTTTTAAAGATATAAGCTCATCTTGATGTTACACTCATCAAGAGCTTTCATTTGAGTACCCACATGCATTTTTGATATATTTTTCATATATACATATATATATATAATATATATAAATATATCAAATATATGAAAAATTGATGTGGGTACTCAAATGGAAGGTCTTGATGAGTGTAATGTCAGAGTGAGCTTATATCTTTAAAAATGACAGTAGTTGACAAGATACAGGGTGATTTTTTTATTATTAATATTTTAAAGGATATAAGCTCGTTCTGATGTTACGCTCATTGAGACCTTTTATTTGAGTACCCATATGACATTTTTTATATATTTTATATATATGGTATTTGTGATATATATAAATATATGAAAAATTGATGTGGGTATTCAAATGAAAGGTCTTGATGAGTGTAATGTCAGGATGAGCTTATATCTTTAAAAATGTCAGAAGTTGACAAGATACAAGGTAATTTTATAATTATTGACATTTTCTAAGATATAAGCTCATTCTGATGTTACGCTCATCAAGAGCTTTCATTTGAGTACCCACATGACATTTTTCATATATTTTATATATATGGTATTTGTGATATATATATATATATATATATTATACATAAAATATATAAAAAATTGATGTGGGTATTCAAATAAAAGGTCTCGATGAGTGTTAAATCGAGATGAATTTATATCTTTAAAAATATCAATAGTTCTTAAGATAGAAACTCATTTCTTAATTATAAGAATTTTCAAATACAGCTTAAATACTTATCATCATGACTTTTTTCGTAATAACTTTTTTATAAAAAATATTCTTACAAATTTCAAATATTTACTAATTTAATTTTCATAATAAAAATTTATCAAATTTTTAATGATTTTTCTTCTGAAATTATTTGAATAGAATATTTTAAATTTACAAATAATGTTTTTTTTTCTTGCGTTTATATTTCAATTGCTCAATATTTAGAGCTGTTACTCTAGATAAAATTTATTAAGAAAATTTTTATTAATCTACTTTCTAAATATTAAATTTTTTATATGAATTTTAAATAAAAAATTATCTATATACCTATATTTTAGAAGTCTAAATTTTTTGAGTTTATTATTAAAAGCCAGTTGAATAAATTGAATAAAAAATTACCTGAATAACAATTGCTGGATTGGTATGTTCATCAATCTGAGAAATATGTCCAATTAACGAGTCACGTAATGAAGCATGAGCTTCAACCGGTAATTCATGAAAATCATATTGGATTTTCGCTCGCATTGTTTGAGCTGCGAAAAAACATGAGTCTAGATCTTTTTTCTCCTGGAGTATCCTGTCTGAAATTTTCCATGCGTAGACCTTTAAATAAAAAAAATTAATTAATTAATTTTATCAACAAATAATTATGGAGTATATAACTAAAAAAATATATTTAAAAAGTTATTTTTAGGTTATGAAAAATTTAAAATTTGCAAGCAAGTAAAAATTATAATTATTCATTAAAAAAAAAATACGCATTAATGTAAAAAGTGCAGAAATTTTTTAAGTTTAATTAAATAAAAATATAAAATAAAAATCTGTTAAAAAACTTACCGTTTTTTGAAGTTCTTGTAACCACAATGATGCCCGGTTTTGTTCAGTAGGATTTGATTTTTGGTGCATAGAATAAATAGCTTCATAAACAGTTTCTATTTCTGGCGGTAAATTCATCTTTAACTATTTTTTTTTTTTTTTTAATAACTACTTACTGTTATTTATTGTTTATTATTTGTTATTACTATTACTATACATATACAGTTTGAATGCTCGCTTCAGCTGGTCAGAAAATCAACTCAATGGAAAGTTGTTGCCACAAAAAAAATTATTCGGAAAACATGCCGCCATTTTTACTAGACCTCTGGCGGGCAAATTTAAAATTACATTTTTTAAAATGAAATTAATTCAGATTTTTATATTTATTGTGAAAATTAATAAAATTAATTTAGCATAATATTTAATAATTTTATAACAATTAAATTATGTCAAAAAAAAATTGACATGTAGAAATTTTAAAAAATTAAATTTTTTTTAAATAATTTTTTGGAAGAAATTTTTTTGTTAAATAAAATTAAAAAATTATTAAGTGACAGCTAGCTTTAATTTCACTTTATAAAGTTTGAATTTTTAGTTACAAAAATTTCCGCTAGGAAAAATTTACTATTTTTCTTGACAGTTCTCGTACATATTTTTAGAACGTATTATTTATAATAAGGAAAGAATATTATTGCAAGTGTTAATTGTGATAATTGGAACAATAATTAAAGTGTTTTGATAATAAAAAATTTGTTGGAGATTAGGAATATTATAAATATTTAATTGGACATAAAATAATATGTAAGTGTGATTTATAAAAATTTTTAATTTCTAGGTTATAAATTTTGTAATTATTTTGTCAGAGTAATTATTGTTTAAAATGATTATTTTATTTACTCAATTAAAAATGTCAATTTTTTATTCTTAAAATTCATAATATTGAAATTAGCTGATATTTAAAAATTTTTTTTTTTCATTAAATTTAGAGTAAAAAAATATTTTTGAAAAATTGCACTTATTGTTTTTCAAATCAGCTGACATTTAAAATTATTTTGAATTTATTAAAATTAATTTAGGAGATATTTAATAATTTTAAAATTTCTATATGTAAATTTTTTTTGCTATAATTTATTTGTTAAAAAAATTTTTTTAATTATTAAATATCTACTGAATTAATTTTAATAAAAAATAATATACTTAATAGAAAAAATATTTTTTTTATTTTAATTAAAAAATTAATTATATATTTAATTTAAATTTAATTTTCAGAAAAATGGGAGAACGCAAGGGAACAAACTTATACTATCCACCGGACTACGATCCGCGTATGGGTGGACTAAACAAATTTATGGGCACCCATGCCTTACGTGAGCGAGCACGTAAATTACATATGGGAATATTGATAATAAGATTTGAAATGCCATTTAATATATGGTGTAATGGATGTAACAACCATATTGGTATGGGAGTAAGATATAATGCCGAGAAAAAAAAAATTGGAATGTACTACAGCACTCCGCTTTATATGTTCAGAATGAAGTGTCATTTGTGTGATAATCACTTTGAAATAAAAACTGACCCAGCTGTAATTATCAATATTTATTATTTATTATTTATTATTAATGACACTGAAGTTGAGAGACATTAAAAAGTTTTTTATAATTTTATAATAATAAAATTATTATGAAAAAAATTTAATTAAAAAAAATTAATAAAAGTTTTGAAAATTCAGCAAACTTCAGTGTCATTATTATTGCTATTTTTTTTTTTTATTATTAATTAAATTATTATAATTTCAGAATTTAACTTATATAGTAGAAACTGGAGCGCGTCGCCAAGAAAATCGATGGGATCCAACAGAAAATGAACAGATTGTACCAGAAGAAAAAGAAGTATCAAAAAGACTTTATGATGATCCGATGTTCAAATTGGAGCACTCGATGGACGATAAGAAGAAAGCTAAATCACAGGATACTACTTTAAATGCTATAATTGCTAATAATGAACAGTTTAAAGATGACTATGCGATAAATTCTTCGCTACGAGCTGCATTTAGAGTTAGTATTTTATTTCATCAACTAAGACGGCAATATATTATCTATTGCACTGTACTATTCATAACTTCTGATATTTTTAAAGATATAAGCTCATTTTGATGTTACATTCATCGAGACCTTTTATTTGAGTACCCACATGCCATTTTTTATATATTTTATATATATGGAATTTGTAAAATATATAAATATATAAAATATATGAAAAATTGATGTGGGTACTCAAATGAAAGGTCTTGATGTGCGTAATATCGGGATGAGCTTATATCTTTAAAAATGTCAATAGTTGACAAGATAGTAATGTAAGTTCTTAATTATTGACATTTTGGAAGATATAAGCTCGTTTTGATGTTACATTCATCGAGACCTTTTATTTGAGTACCCACATGCCATTTTTTATATATTTTATATATATGGTATTTGTGAAATATATAAATATATAAAATATATGAAAAATTGATGTGGGTACTCAAATGAAAGGTCTCGATGAGTGTAACATCGGGATGAGCTTATGTCTTTAAAAATGTTAATAATTCACAAAATACAAGGTCATTTCTTAATTATTGACCTTTTTAAAGATATAAGCTCATCCCGATGTTACACTCATCGGGACCTTTCATTTGAGTACCCACATGCATTTATGATATATTTTTCATATATACATATATGTAATATCTATAAATATATAAAATATATGAAAAATTGATGTGGGTACTCAAATGAAAGGTCTCAACGAGTGTAACATCAGGACGAGCTTATATCTTTAAAAATGTCAATGGTTTCCAATATATATTAATTATTAATAATTTTTCAGGTGAAGAAAAAAGAGTTACAAGAACGTAAAAGCTTGTCATTAAAAATGGGACTGTCGAACGTAAACCTCGTTGACGAACACGCTGAAGATGTAAAGCTAGCTCAATTATTGATGCAGAATAAAAAAAGTAATGGGAACAAATCAATCTATTCACCTTTAAAAAGGCTCGTTAATACCAGCCATGTTCATAAAATAAAAAAACAAATGGCACCCTCGACTTTGAAGGTGGGTATAGTTAAAAAAGACAAAATTCAAGAAGATAGTACTTGCAAAGCAAGTGCTAAATTAAACGCCAGTACTTCTCTAGTTAATTATGATTCATCTAGCTCCGATAGTTCTTAGAATAAATCTTTAATAAAAATAATTAGATTTATTTTCTGTGTATAAATTTTATTTCTTTTATTTATAATACTTTTTATAACAATAAAAAATTGGTGCTCAGTAAACTGAGATTAACATTATTATTTATTATTATTATTATTATTATTATATTTTAAATCTCTATAAAAAATTACTAGTCTATTTATATTTATATTTATAAAAAGTATTTTTTTTAATTTTTTTATTAAAAATATTTTTTAAAATTATTAATAATTATTAAAAAATATTTTTAATAAAAATTTTAAGTATCTTAAAAAAATAAATGAGATTAATTTTCTCACTAAAAAATAATTTATGATATGAAAATTTTTTTATAGATTTATACTTTAATATTTTCAAATAATCAAAGTTATAATAAACGGACTGATTAATAAATTTATCTTTAATATATAATATATAACTAACCAATTGTAACATTATCATTATCAAAAATACTAAACAAAGTTTCTAAAATTATTTATAATAATAATAGTAATATTAATAAAAATAAATCAATAATCATGTACAAAAAAAAAATTGATTACACTGTATATACATTAAGGAAAAAAAAATATATGTATGTATATAATATATATAAAAAAAAGTATCAAAATTTTTCTTATAATAAATAAGTATACTTTTTTTACATTGTATGTATTTAATATAAAGCTCGTTATCGTTGTACTTTATTTAGATATTTTTTTTTTTTTTTAGATTTTTTATATTAAAATTGGAAGTACATGGACAAAAAAAAATTAACTTGAATAAAAAAAATAATTTTGGTAATTATGCAGAAGTGCAGAAAATTTTTGAATATTTTTTTTTTTTCAATTTGTTCTTTTTTTTACGGCAAATTATGAAGAGTATAAAAATTAAATATTTTGATTTTTTTTTTATTTTAAGTTCAAAAATTGACGATTTTAGATATTTTTCAATGAAATGGTGACAATGCTATTTTTTTTTTTTAGTAATTGAAATATTTTTTTTTCTTAAAAAGCGATAAACAATAGAATAAATTAGAAAAATATCATAATTTAAAAATTTTTGAACTAAAAAATTTTTCTCTTGATTCAAGTTAATTTTTTTTTTTTTTATTGTGGAATGAAATAAATACAAAAAAGAAAAATATAATTATTCGGGCGTATTTTGTACATTACTTCCTTCATTACGACGATGCAAGCGTTCGGGATGAGAACAAGCCAATTGACTAAAGTCGCGAACTACATCATTGAACGTTTCGTCCCCGGTAATACCTATTTCAGAGTCTTTCATCTCTTCGTTCAATAATCCTAGTCTTAACAGAGTGACAATATCTGCGTTAGCTTCTTTTACAGCTATTGACAATGGTTTCACTCCACTTTCGTCTTCGATATGCTGATCTGCGCGGTGTTTTAGTAATAAACACACTTGCGCTGTGTGACCTGAAAAATTTATTTAATTTTTTCATAATTAAGAAATGCCCTTGTATTTTGAGAACAATTGATATTTTTAAAGATATAAGCTCATCCTGACATTATACTCATCGAGACCTTTCATTTGAGTACCCACACGAAATTTTCATATATTTCATATATTTAACAAATATCATATATATCAAATATACAAAATATACCAAAAATTCATGTGGGTACTCAAATGAAAGCTCTTGATGAGTGTAACATCGGGATGAATTTATATTTTAAAAAATGTCAATAATTAAGAGATGACCTTATATCTTGTCTACTATTAACATTTTTAAAGATATAAGCTCATCTCGACATTACACTCATCGAGACCTTTCATTTGAATACCCACATCAATTTTTCATATATTTTATATATTTTTATACATATATTATATACATCATGTATATATGAAAAATATATCAAAAATACATGTGGGTACTCAAATGAAAGCTCTTGATGAGTGTAACATCGAAATGAGCTTATGTTTTTAAAAACATCAATATTTAAGAAAGTACAGTGCAATTTAACAAAGCAAAATTTTATTAAAACTTTTATAATTACCCAATTACATTTTTAAAATTCTCAAAATTTTTTTTCTTATCAATATAATTAAAATTCCTCCACCAATAAATCCAAAAATAAATACCTAATTCCGTAGCCAAATACAGCGGAGTTTTACCCTCAGCATCTTGACAATTGATTTTCGCTCCATTTAAAATCAAATACTCACACGACATCACCGAGCCCTGCAAAAATAACGAGCTAAATAAATAAACCCCCAATTCTTTCAAATATAACCCCTCTCTCCTCCAAAAAAAAAAAAAAAAAACCTTACACTAATTATCGCCTGATGAAGAGCAGTACGTCCCCTGTCATTAACATTGCACCACAATTTATCAGCCCCAGCAGCCAAAGCAGTGCACATAACCGGCAGGTTATGTGCCTCCGCAGCTTTATACAGCAACATATCAGGGTGTAAATTTTCAATATCCTCCTCCTCCGCAAACTCTTCTTCCTCTCCCGCAGTAGAATCCTGATCGGAGCTAAGCTCAAGGTTACTTTCAATAAAAGGTTTTGGTAAATCACACCCAAACATCAAAACATCCCCTTTATCCTCCTTTTTATCAACCTCCTCTTTATCTCCCTCCAAACCCACATCCTTGCCTTCCACCAAAGAATTCTTTTGCTCTTTATCATCAGAGCTAACAGAACTATCCTCATCCTCACAAACTTCATCCTCAACTTCACTAATCCCTTCTTTATTTTTCCCAATCTTCCTATGACTCCTAGGCCTCCTCCTGAGTTTCCTAACACTCCACTTCCTGAAGCGCATAATATCCCTCTGGCCAGTTACGGGAACTACAGAATTATCAAAAGGTTTGACAAACTTCTTATCAACATACTTGGCTTTGATCCAAGCCTCGCGGATGCTGTTAATACACTTGGGAGTAGCTTTAGTAATCTCCTGATCAATTTTCACTGCTTCGTAGACATTATTGACAACATTGTTCCCCAACTCAGCCATGACCTGATGATACATGATTTGAAAATCAATAATGTTAGGGATAGTTGTATAATTAAAATTAATGATTGTCAAATTCAGTGTGCAAAAGTAACAAAATATTTAGGTATATTAATTGATGATAATCTTAATTTCAATTCAAATGCTGATTGCTTATTAAAGAAAATTCCAAAAAAAAATTGATGTTGTAAAAAGATTACAGTGTTCAGTTAGTGCTTTCACCAAATCGCTAGTTTATAACATAATAGTTCTTCCGCACTTTAAATATTGCAATACTATCATGCTAAACTATTCAGAAGAACTATTGAATAAACTCCAGTAACAACAAAATGTCCCGATGAGGGCTATAATTAGGAGAAAGTAGATATGCGGGTGATTCTCTGTAAGGATGTTTTTTGCTGTCCCAGGGATTTTTTTATTAGAAAAATTGTTATTTTGTTACTAAAAAAAATTTATTACAAAAGTAAAAAAACATTTCTATTTGGAGCATTGAAAACTAAAATGAAATAAATTTTGGTTTTTTTGCTATAAATTGGTAAACCACCGACAATAACAGTCTCCTGGGCTGTCTCATTCCCAAAATTAAAACTTTAAGATTAAATTTTAAGTTATTCGTCCATAATATATAATTAGGTCGATAATGTTTATAAATTTAATTAGTTAACTAACAATCTTCTTCAATAAAAAGTACCAAAAATTAATTTGTTTCATTAAATTCATTAAACCAAAGTATGTCCCAGACATTTGAGATCAGTCCCCTGCCAAAAGTTCAAAGCCAAAAAAAAATCCAGCGTGTTATTTTACCTTTTGTAAAGTTTATAAGGATCT